ACGTTAGCAGCCTCATAAAACTATTTATTTTTAACAGTTCTACGAGTATTCCCATGTTAAACTTGAAAAGTTAATTTGACAAACGTTTGTTTTCAGCAGTTCATAATCGGACCTATCTAACTACATAGATAATAAAACTATGCGAGTTGGAAAGGATTAGCAACTGTCCTTAGAGGAGTTGGCTAATGTCCGGTAGAAAATCTAAAAAGCTTCGCTGTGATCGACTTGCTGATTCTTATCGACTAGGTGGGCTAGAATAGAAATCTAAAGCAACCTTGTTCGACTAAAAGTCAGTCAAATGGGTATGTGCTCATGCACCCTCTTTTTCAGGCGCCTGTTGTTCGGCCAATATATCCTGGCTCGTTTTAATTGACATCACGTGTGATTTTTTTTTCTTGGAACAAGTGAGTAATTGCCTGCAATTATGTAAACGACCTCTTTTGAAATGTCCTATTGCACCGATTCATTTCTTCACTACTGTGTACCAATAGGAAGTTCAAAGTTGTCTGCCTATATTTCCCATAATAATCTTGACTTGCTTCACAGCAACCCATTGATGCGGCCCTCAACGTGATTCAGTCTTTACCTCCCAAGCGTAGGGGGCGCCAGTCGCAAAAATTTTTATTTTAATAAACAAAGACAGGGCCAAGTAAGAAGTACACTTGTTTGTTCTGTTTGGTGTGACTAGTCATCGATGCCACTTTATAAAAAAACTGCGGTGTTATGGTCCCGCAATTTATAAACAGAAATTCTGGCTCTGTCACTGCGATAATATGTTGCTCCGTATGAAGACAGTTATGTCTGAACAGTAATTACTTTTCCAAACGCTGTCATTCCTGACATCTTGTTTGCAGGTGAAAAAAATTGGAAGACTAGCGATCCTTTGTTCAAAATCTAAGTGACCTACAAAAGGAGACCATCCACAAACGCGTGCACTCAAAAAGGTCAGCAATACTTCACATATTCTCAAACTGAATCCAAAAATGGTGCAGACGTGGGAAAACACTATGTTGCACCACAAGCCAATGTTGAATAGACTCGATACCTCAATGTTGGCTTCAGAAAACATATATACCCTTGAGGTGTACTAAATAGTGTCTACCAACCTACCACAGAGCACTGAACACGGATTCTAGAATTAACCATTCGCCATCTATTAGTAAAATCCCCTTTTCAGCTTAGTTGAGTTTACTTGAGGTGACGTATGTGTGTGTTGTGCCTAGCTCGCGTCTAAGTGAACTCCGCTAGAATCTCACAACTGCGGTTCTAGACGTCTGCAAACAGCCAATCACAGTTGCCTAATAGATGCCTTTTGGGCCGGCGGCGAATAGCAAGCCTGCATTGCTCTCTCTCTCTGCTCACTGACCTGACTGCTGTTAAATTGGCACTTGGACCAGCTGGCCATCCAGACTGATTGTGTGTTCCCAAGTCAAATTTCTTCCATCTATTCTCCGTTCCTCTGTGTACACAATATACTGTCCCTACTACTCTGGCCTCCACCGACTTCTTCTTAACTAAGCAACCATGGTCTGAAGATCGCAGTTGCTAGGGTTCAACTTACTTAACCCCCTGCGATATGTGAACCTTCGAACGCCCTATTTTTTTTACATGTCTGTTGTGCTATCAGAAAAATTTTAAATGTAACACTAAGTACGAGAGAGTGTGAAAAACCTGTCCAGATAAACGAAACGAAGGAGGCATAAAGAATCTTAGAGCGAAGGAGCAAACTTGTGCAGTTGTTACTTCGGCGATATTACTGTAGTGACCCCGTAGCGTATTCCGCCACCCATGCCACGCCACACAATGAGATCACGTGATTGCAGTCCTCAGCGTGCCTCTGGGACAGCCGCAAGCTCCGCGCAAATGCTTGTCTCGAGCGGCCACTAGCACGCACGCACTTGTGGGCTAACCCCAATCTCTCTGGCCAATCACCTTCAAGGCTGAGTCACACAAAGACCACTCTGACCGCTAAGATGACTGCCAGACTCAGACACTGAGAACGCTGACTCGCTCCGGTGCAGACCTGCGCTCGTCCGAAAGCCAACTTCCTCCAACCTATTCTCCACTTCCTTCTACACAGAATACACTTCTCTTTTCATGTGACGCCTCACATCTTCTCTTCCAACAAGGAACCGGACTTTAAGATTATACTGGCAACGGTTTTCCATATTAAGTTAACCCCTGCGATAGT